GTGGCCAAAACCGGTGTCACCGTTGTCTATCCACTGTGATAGTGAGGCCACTTTGTCTAGAGCCTATAGCAACATTTATAATGGAAAATCCAGACACATTGGACTTCGACATAGCTATGTACGGCGATTGATAACTGATGGTGTGATAACTATAAACTTTGTAAGATCTTTTCAGAATTTGGCTGATCCGCTTACAAAGGGATTGTCGAGGGACTTGGTCTTTAAGACCTCCAAAGGGATGGGTCTTATGTCTGTTTAATGATCACCAATAATGAAAAACCAACTTGACTCTTAAAACATTAAGAGTACTAGTTCAATGGCTAAAGTACATTATATGTAGTGATTGAAGCACAAATAAATTTGTAATATCTCAAAAGTTCTAGTGCTTGTTGTTCGTAGTAGTACAGAGAGGATGAGCAGAAGGCTCTTAATGAACTTACAAGTGTTTACAGCTGCGAGAGCACAAAGTTCACCTATATGAGTGTTTAAAGTGGTGCCGCTTTATATGAGTTATGGGCTTGACTCTATATCACTCCTGAACAGGATATGGACACATGGCCAATTCACGTGTCGGCATTGTAAAAATACTACTGTAACGTTGGATAATTTATGTGTGTAATCGTCTCCGGTTAGTTATATGGGAAATTGGTTCAATGATCCGTCAACCATTATTTCTTTATTAACTTTGAGATGTATACACTATATTTTGGTTCAAGTCGTGAGACACCAATATTAATGCATAAATTCCTAGCCTTGTTTATGTACATTTTATTTTAGCTTGTGATTTTCTTTCATTTTGAAAATAGGGGGGAAATGTTGGATTATTTTCAAACATGAAAGATGATTGGTTCATATAATAATGGATTAATAATTTTGTGGCTGATTTTATAGTATATAATATCATTATGTATGTACGTATTTATGCATGATGATATATATATAGTCAAAGTTTACACTCACACGTGTAACTTGAATGACCCATAATAATATTAATTATTATTTTAATGTTTATCTATTTGAGATAGACATGATGGTTGGACACAAGGGCAGTTAATTAACTACCGTGCAGCCAAAGAACACAAGGAACGGACATGTACCCCTATATATATTGATTAGCTTGTTGTGTTTTATACGATTCATTTTTTTTTTGTTTTCTTCTTTAAAAAGTTTTCACACAAACAAATTCATATACACATTCTGCAGATGTGTATGATACATTAGCAAGGCTATTAGTTACAAAGTATTTAGGATTAGATTATTAAGTGCAAATAATTTAATGAGGCTTCATTGTATCCTAAAGGCAATTCGTTGGACCATATGCACTATTTTATATGGGACGTATTTCGCCTAAAGGAAAGCGATTTGATCGTGACTTGAAGCCGTAGTAGTTCTACTTTCGATTTTCAGTTTATTGTTAAATAAATAGTATTTCAATAAAGTTTAGTGTTCTAGATTTCCAACATTTTCTTGGTCAATGATGACAAATTATAGACAATGATATTCATTATATATTTGTATACTATGTATAATTTATAAATTTGAAACTTTTATGAAAATATTTTGAATAGGAACATTTTGATATAAATTTCATATTCTAAATAATTTCATATTAAAAATATAATTAGTCAGAATTAATTGTCATTAACAAAGAAAAGTCCATTGGTAAACTTTTTGGGACAGTGATTATGATATAAGTATATAATTTAATTGACTGGCATCATTTTTTATTTGAGAAGGAACAGAATGTAAACATTATTAATTTGATATAATCCCACAAGGGATCAGAGTGGGATCATTTATGCTATGATTTAGTTTTAGATGGCCAACATAATCCAAAACCTAATGAAGTAAGGGGTTATATCCATGTTGCAATTAAGAAGACCCCTCATTGGATTCTTTTATTTCCCCGCATGTTGTATATACATCAATTAGTTTCATGTGGTAGCTAGGTGAAGGGACTCGAAGTCACATACTTTGTTGGGTAGAGAGATCGCATAGGGTAGAGAGGTTGTTCTTGATGAGACCTTCCCAAGTAGGGGTGAGTTCGGTTCAAACGGTTCAGTTTTCACCTAAAACCAAATGTCGAATCAAAGTAAAAATTTCGGTTCGGTTCGGTTTTATGTTGAAAAATTTGGAACCACAGTTTGTTCGGTTCAGTTTCGGTTTTTTCGGTGTTTACCAAAGTATTTTTGTTGATTAGAAAAGTAGTAATTGGAAAACAAAACAAAAAATAAGCTACATCAAACTATTATTAATAGTAATACAATACAAAAACATATACTTAAAAAAGAGAGAAGAAACAAATGCACTTCCAAACAATGAATTAGAAAGTAAGTGTATACCAATTTAAACACTTTCTAAATTAATTAAACGCATGCGTTTATTCGTGAATTATAGTTTATTTGAAAGATAAATTTTACTAGTAAATAATTTATCCTACTTTCTTTTAATACAAAGATATTCGGCTATCTTGTTTAAAGTGTAGTTTATATTAATACATATTTGTTCAATATATAAATTATGTGATAGCAAGCATACATAACATATAATATATCAACATGTTAGTAAGTTACAATTAAATTACAATTTAAAATATCAACATATTAGTATTTATAACAATAGATTTAAGTGTATGTACAAGTATTTCACTTAATTAAGCCATAAATATTAAATGTCAATATCTTGCAAATCATAATAAATCTAGTATTAAACATTGATTTTCTAGAATTAAGAATTAAGAACTAAACAAAATATTATACTTGATGATTAGTAAATAAAATAACAAGTTTAACAAAGTTTGGTTTATTCGGTTCGGTTCGGTTTTGAGATGTGAAAACCGAAACCGAAACCAAACAACTAGGGTTCGGTTGTTTGAGTTCGCTTTCGGTTTTCTTGCGGTTCGGTTGTTTTGGTTGCGGTTTGGTTTTTTTCGATTCGGTTTTCGGTTTCCCTGACCCACCCCAATTCCCAAGTACTGAAATGCAGTATGAACACAACGGGAAGAAAGTTAATAACTTAATATACAATGTAATCAAGTCGAAAAGAAAGTAAGCAAACGGGACTCTTGGACCCTGAAAGAAATACATCATGGCATCCAAGTCTCGGGATGTTTTCTTTTGGACTGAAATTTTATAATCTGGTATGGTCTGTTTAAGTCTGATCTGAACTGGTCTGGTAAATGTGTGGTCTCTTTGTATTTTATAATTGTCCAGGTTTGGTATGGTCTGTTTAAGTCTGATCCGAACAGGTCTGGTAAATGTCTGTTCTCTGTTATAACTGTCCAGATCTGGTATAGTCTGTTTAAGTCTGGTCCGATCTATTTAAGTCTGGCCTGGTTTGAGACTGAAAACAGTCCAATTAAAACAAAACTGATCTCGTGTAAAAACCCCACAAGCTCGCCCTAATTGCATGTTTTTTAGTACACATTTTAACATATTGTCCACACTCGACGCTATACTAGCAGCAGCTATGTCACCTTCCAGCACACCAGTCTCATCTAGTGGCACACCAAATATCTCGCTCTTAGTTAAAGCAGAGTATCCATCTATGGCACAACTATTCCCGGATAACTTTGACTCTTGTTAAGTGAGCTCCACCTGCACATTTACATTGTGATGATCAATAAATACAACCAGTACGTAAGAAGAGGACTTGAAGTTTTGTTAACATGGCATATCGTTCTCACGAGAGAATTCCCTAAATAGGAGTAAAAACGTTTTGAAATTCCAAAATAAGACTATCATGTTTTTTATTCCTCAAATAGGAGTAAATTTATGCCAAGTTTGGCATTAACAGGTTTTAAAACATGACATTTTTTCCCAAACTTGGCAAATTACTTCTATTCAGGGAATAAAAAAGATGCTAGTCTTATTTTGAAATTTCATAACGTTTTTACTCCTATTTAGGACAATTTATGTAACACAAAACACAGTGATTGATGAGAAGATGAACTAAAATTAATCCATACATGGTATCATTAGGGAATATTCTCGAGCTATTTTTAGGGAATATCAATAGGCTCACTCGGTTTGAGAGTCCGAACTCCTAGCAAGTCCGCAGATGATTAAAAATAGGGAAAGTTCCCGAAATATGACAAAAAAAATTAAAAATTCCAAAATTGAACTATCATGTTTTTATTCTCAAAATAAAAGTAATTACTGACAAGTTTGGAAAATACTGCCATGTTTGAAGTCTGGAACTGCCAAAACATGGCAGTAATTAGTCCTATTTTGGGAATAAAAACACAGAAGTTCTATTTTGGATTTTTCAAACTTTTTTAGTCCTATTTCGGGTCATATTCTCTTAAAATAGGGATCCATGCTATCTCTTTGCCTTATGTACGCCCATCCCCTTTTTATCGAACCATCTCCTGAAGCTATTCCACTTTCTAACATGTCCTATAGCTTCTAGATCTCATGTAGTATGATTTTAAACATATTATTGGCTTGCTACCAACTCTTTTCATACACCTCATGCTTGCGAGGAGATAGTTATTGGACTCTAAACAGTGAACACATTGCGATCTTGGTTAGAAAAACATGGCAAATTTTGTATGGTTGTTGGTCACTTGATCTTGAGTGGAACCAACGAGGGCCTGCTACTCTTTTTCATGGATGAATTGCCAATGGATGTATGGATTGCATGTACGTGGATTGCTAAGTTTACCTCTCCTCATTTTTGCTTAAGCATGAAAGCTCCCCACTAGTTTGGTCTTCGAATTATTACTACGTATCTGTAAACAACCCTTCATAAACAACCCTTCTGACTAACTGTCTTTTTTTCATTTTTTGTTTTACCTTTTGGAGCTACCTACACATCTCCCTGACTCCCCATCAAGATAGGGTTACCTCAACTCTCAAGTATCAACCGGGCCCCTCATTGAATAGCTTTTCATTGAATTCGGTTTAACCTAGACACATATTACCTCTGTCCCTTAAAACTTTGTAGCTTTCCCTTTTAAGTAAAGAATTTGTGGTTCCAGTTAATTCTCTCTCTTCTACACAAACCTCAACCACACGATTTTTACTTTATTAATCCCCGTGCCGGTCAAACTTGGCAAAGTTTTAAGGGAAGAAGGGAGTACATAAGAGAGGGAGGGAGGGATTAATACATGGCCTGTGGCCTTGGTTGCTGCAGCAGCATTCATACTGACGTAGAATGAACAAACAGGCAATGACACATATTGTTCAAAAGATTAGAAACAATTGAAGAGATTTTGACTGTTGATAAAACCTAGAATTACTAGAGAACTAAAGATGCTACTCGATGGTGATTGCATTTTCTAGCGCACCACCGGAAATCTGCGCGTCAAGTTCAGCAGGGAAGTCACCTCTGAGTATTTGAGCTTTAAGCTTGATCAAATCTTTCTTGATCTCCATGACCTGAAGAATTAACCCATCTCCATATTTGACTTTATTATCTTTCAAAAAGTCTTTCCATGTTGTAGAGTCCAAACTTTTTTTGTTCCTGCTTACACACAGAATAGTCCTCCAAGTATTCTTTCCATATGTGATCACTACCGGGACCCTTCCATTAGGAAGCTCAGAGTTCATTTTAGGTGGAAACACCTAAAGGGCATCAAAAAAACAACTAAACTGCCTCATAAATGAACATTCAAAACAAGAAATATTTATTGAGAGAAAGCATGTCAATTATTATGTATGTGTAATCCACAGAAATCACAAACAACCTTAGTGATAATAAATAATTTAAATGAAATGGAATCAATCATACTTGATTTTGTATCATGGTGGCAGCTTGGCCAGATGATATTCATCTTATTCAGCCAAATGCTCAAATTTCTAATCTGAAAATTACTATTACCATTTGAGTCATGGGTCTCTTTTTTGAGAGGATGAAATCAAAGAAAGCTCTCCCAGAGAGCGGCTCAACTGGCACATCCTCAAACTCAGGTGTTACAGAAGATGGATTTGAAGGTAGTTTAACACCTGCTTTTGCAATATTGTTTCTCGGAGGTCTGCCCATTTGATAAGCTTTGGCGGGTGGGCTCTCCTGTCATACAGCATAATCAGTTTTGCAGTTAGAACTTAGAAGCAATATATGAGGAGAGAAATGTTTGGTGCAAAAAATTAATTCAGACTTACTATACATGTTATATGCAAAAACAACTCATAAACCAAGTGCCTATTACACATTTAATAATATTACTTGGAGCAGAGAATTAAACCACATAGCCGATTAGTACAAATGCCTTCAGGATGTGACTATATATAAAAAGGAGCTTTATTTAGTAGAATCAAGCACTAGTTCTTGCAACAAGCCTCATGTAATACTTTGTGATGCAAAAAACTATGAACATTCAATCTAATACAAATGCCTAGTAGAATCAAGCACTAGTAGGCCAACATAATCTGAAACCTAATGAAATAAGGGATTATACCAATGTTGCAATTAAGAAGACTCCTTGTAGGTTTCTTTTGTCTCCTGTCAGCTGCATATACATCAATTAGTTTCATGGAGTATCTAGGGTGCTTCTATCAAAGTAGTTTTTTCTTAGTTTTTTCTGATTAGTTTTTGCTTCTCAGTAGCCACTGTTTATGTTGAGTAATTTCAGATTAAATGAGTACTTTTCAGTTTGAAAACAACTTCCTTATACATGGATTAGCAATGATTTTTTCTGGAAGTTTGCAGTTCACAGTTTACTCAATGAAGCTTCTATTTTGATTAACAAAGGTTTATCAAAATTTTCGAATTATACACTTTACTCAATGAAGCTGCTATTTTGTATTTTTAAGTTGCTAGGGTGCGTATACCTCAGTTTCATATAAGAAGAGGTTTAACCATTAAACCAGATTGCCATATCCATATTTTTTTTTTGATTTTTTAAGCTCATATTTTTGCAGGGATCAATGGTTGGCTGGAATCTAAGAATGAGGAATCAATGGTTTGCTGCAATCTTCTAAGCTCATTACCATCCCTGGCACAATGAGGAATCAATGCAAACATAAATAAGCTTATCATCCCTCTCATTCCTCATACTATCTGGGAACCAATGATTTTCTAAGCTCCTTACCATCCCTTGCATCGAATCACAATGCCATATAGTTTAACCATGGTTTAAGAAGGCGGTTACAGGCCGGGTTTTGATGTGCGCCTCAAGGTAAGGCGTATAGAGAAGGTAACAAGGCTTAGGTTTTTCTCGCATCTCAAGAGGCTTACGCCTCAAAAGCTGAGGTGTGGGTTCCTATGTTTCTATCTTTTTAATGGATTGTGACTTAAGAAAGACCTGGTTTATTTTAAGTACTACCTCCGTCCCATATTGGTTGTCCACTTTCAATTTGGCATGATAATTAATAAAGTGGTTGAAAAGTAAAAGTTGTGGTTGAGATTTGAAAAGAATAAAGTAAAATGATAAGGACCACATATTTCTTGCACAATTGATTTATTTTACGAGTACTTTTTTCTTTATTTGTTTTTCTATCAGTAGTTTTCCATGCTGAAAAATATTCACTAGATAGATAATCAATGTTTGATTGGAACGCTCAATAAGTTTATTTTTTTTTAATTAGCCCCTGCTCAAATAGATTATTCAACAAGTCATCGATTTGTTGATAATCGTATTTAAATTTAGAACGTTATACTAAAAAAGTTTACTTTTTAACATGCATACATGCTGACATGCGTTGCTGAATCCATTCTGTAATTATAAATTTATAATCCTATGTAAGTATCTTCCATTATATTTTGCAATGAAAGACTACCTTTTTTTGCTGAAATTCATGTTGCTGAATTTATTGTTCCATTCAAAGATAATGGATATGAGTTTTTGAATATGGAATCAGGTTCAGACTTGTGATCCATTAGACCATTACTTTTGCGCGCAGTTTAAAAAAAACAAAATCTTGTCTATTTGCTAATTTGGAGTTTACTTTAATAAGATACTATCTTTTACAAACTAATCGTATTACAGTTTCTTTTGAATTTTTCTAAGAAAATAACTTTACTAGTCATTTCTTTCCTCGCATAAAGTTTTCCAACAGTGAAGGTCTAACATGCACATTTTACTATTCTTATCATACCTTATTAAGCAGTGAAGTAGTGCAGTTTGCCTAGCAAGTTTTTCAGCAAATTAGATGGATTGAAAATGTGCAAAGATGGATTGTAAATTTTACTAAAAATTAGTCAAACATTTCACAAATAACAGATCTCATTATTAATACTCCGTATTGTGTAATTAGACTTAGTTTAAGTTAAAATAGAGTCCCGATCCTGTCAGGCCGGCCTGACGGAAAACGCTGTCAGGCCGAGGCCATCAGAGGCCCTTCCCGGTGGAATTTTTTGATGAAATTTTTTGAGCATGTTCCTCATCAAGTCTAGTTTATCCATACCAAATTTCAGCTAAAAATTCAATCCGGAAGGCAGTCAAAAAAATTCCCTACTAAAACTGCGCAGTTTATATATAAATAATGCACAGTTTTAGTAGAGAATTTTTTTGACTGCCTTCCCGATTGAATTTTTAACTGAACTTTGGTATGAATAAACTAGACTTGATGAGGAATATGCTCAAATTTCATCAAAAAATTCCACTTGGAAGGTCCCCAAATGGCCTCGGCCTGACGGCGGTTCGCCGTCAAGCCGGCCTGATACGATCTGTCCTCAGTTAAAATATACAAGCATCTATAAAAAGAAGTTTAGAACTTCAGCTAAATCGGCATAATTCTGCAAAAATATAAATCAGTAAACTAGCACTTAAGATAAATGAGCACTTTAGCCATTCTGCAAACAGTTCTGACTTCTGAGCATAATAATTACATGAAGATGGACCATCTACAACTCCGGCAAGTCGACCAGTTCAGAAGTCTACAAGAAGAAGGAGAGAACAGTTTCGAGAAAGAATGTGGCGTCTGACCTGGCTAAGTAGTGCGGCGGTGGCGAACAGACGCAGAGGAAGCCAGCCAAAGTGTGGTGGCCGGTGACAAAGTTGCTGCCGTGCCGCTCGTTTCGCTCGTCTTTGTACAAGAGAGAGAGCCTATTATTTTGAGAAGGGTAAAAGCGAAATTGGAGAGATAATTCAATGTAAGACAAACGGGTATAAATTCAGTGAGAGATCATTGGGGTAGGGTAGAAGGCAGTATTAAACGGATCAATCCTGCTAGAGGTAGACAAGTTATACACAACTTGTGCACAAAATGTTGGTCATAGACAATTGGTACGGAATTGTCTGTGGTCACAGACAAGAATTGTATACAAACAATTTTTGTTTGTGTCCACAAATATTTACTTTTTGTAAAAAGTACGCTGACAGCCGCCTAACACTGACATCAGCTTGCAAATCAATCAATATATGTGCGTGCCTGTGTGCACAGACAATATTTTCATGTTGCACAAACAATTATTTGTCTGTGTGCAGAGACAACTTTTACCACACAGACAATAGTTGTGCGTTCCACAGACAATAGTTGTCTGTGTGATCAACTTTAGTTGTCTGGGTGAACAAAAAACTCAATTTTCTATATATATCCAAATGAAGGATGTAGTTGTATGTGTAATCAATTTACAATAATTTGAATAAAACTAGAAACATAATAAAAATATATGAAATAAGATGAATAAGTTGATTTTGTGCAAATAATGAAAAAAAAATGATAAGTAAAGGTAGAGAAAAAGAGGATGAAGAAGGAAAGAGGAGGATGAAGAAGATTTTTTTTTTGTTGTTGTTGAGAATTTTAGAAGAGATTGGGTAAAGAGGAAAGAGAGAAGGGGGAGAGGAAGAAGAGAGAAGGAAGAGGGAACCAAGAGAGGAGAAAATGATGAAATGATGATGTAGGTATATAAATTTTTTCAAAATTCTAAAATTGACACCACTGAAAAATAAAAATTCTTTGTATAGATATATGTAATGTTTCATAAATTATAAATTGACACCAGTCAACTAATTAAAGAAATGGGGGTCAATGTAATTTTTTTAAAAATTGGAATTCCAACTTAAATTGGAAAGCGAGGCAATTGAAATTTGGGCGGTGTACAACTCTATTCCAAAGTTCCCGCTGCGAAAGACCAAACAACAGATTGTTCAAAATCGGAAACCCTCATCCGATCGGTGTCTCCGTTCTCCTTCCTCCTGCGGCCCTGCCATCGACTTCCGACTTCGATGCCTAGGCGCCCCCATCTACTCTCCGGCTATTTTAGGCTACAGGCTCACCAGCTAGGCGACAATCCCACAGGCCCCTGCGGAACTGCATAAGGTGTTGCCGTAACTTACTATTTCTTTAGTTTATAAATTATTAGTTTATTACTCCCTCCATCGAACTTTGCCAAATTTGCTTTTTTGGTTGTCCCAAAAAACTTTGTCACTTTCTTTTAAAGTAACTAATTTGTGATTCTGCTCATTTCTCTCTCCTCTGAACAAACCTCAACCACATAGTTTTTACTATTCTTATTTCTCACCTACTTTTAACTTGGCAAAGTCTATCGGGACGGAGGTAGTGCTTTATTAGCTACGGAGTATTAACTTTTGCACTTTAAAGAAAGATATTGTGTATCCATTAGTTTTTTACTTGTGAAATTAGCTTTGATTTTACAAGTGATGAACGCAATTGTGAAAAGAGCTTTCTCAGTCATGAAGATCGTGAAGAACAGGGTGCGCAATCGAATGAGGATGCTTTGATGAATGTAATATATTCAAACATTTCTCGATTCCTCGCATCCAGACCGACAAACAAGAAGAGGAGTCGGACAAAGATAAAGACCATCAAAAGAAACAACCACCAAGATGAATTCACGGTTAGACTATCGCAGTTTGGTCCAACAATTTAGACATCCATTTATCCAAGCCTGTTGAAATTTCTGGCCATCTTTTCTAATTTTGTGGGTCACTCTAATTTAACACGGGAGGCTCCAATGCATTTGGAACACGAGACTTCGGCTGACATTGAGGAACTCCCATCCATTTTAAAAGTTATATTTAATTATGAAGTTCAGAGAGACTACGCAGTGAAACAGTTTCAATCTTCAGAGAAACAACCTAATTTAGCACTGATACAGGTTTATTCGGATGCCTCCGACAGCTTTGATCCACCGGATGACTCATACTTCTCAGATGATTTTCTAGGGCATTCAACTAAAAGCCATTGTCGACCGCCAATTTCCAATCAGGGTGACATTCAGGACTCCAAGTTCAACAGATAGATCTGCTTTAAATCTCAATTTATCACTCAGGACACTTGCTTGCTAATAGAAAATCTGTATACGCAGCTAAAAATTTATCGCAAATCCCAGAAGAACAAACGGAGACATAACATGCGGATTAGATCTCAATCTAAGCAATTATCATGGGCATAGATTTTACTTTCTTTCCTTTTGTTTTTTTATTTTCTCTACTTTCCTTTTCACTTTGTAGTTTGTACTCCTTTTCTTAATTATTAAAAAATTTCCCTACTGTTAAAAAAAAAAGATGCCGTTTTCCATCGATGCCCAACGACTCCAGCAAAACCCACTTTAGCAATTTTAATCAACTGTTTCCATGCTATCGTCGAAATCGTATACACAAAAGAACAAATACCTAGATTTTATATTTTTATATACTTTGTTGTTGTCGATCAATTCTTGATGATTTGCTAATAAGCATGCTTCTTATTCAATTTATCAATCTTAATCAACTGTTCCAATGTGGGGGAAACATGGTTGATTTGTATTAACTACTCTAGGGTATAGTAGAAATCTTCTATTAACTAGTTAAAATGCTTTCCAGAGTCTTTGAAAGTATGTGCGCAACCATCTTAGTATATGATACTGCCACCATTTTGAAAAGTTCTGTTATATTAACTTTACTTGGTCAATAATGACAAACTTTGGACAATGGTTTTCACTATTATATTAGTATATAATTTTAAATTATACTTTGTGAAAATATGTTGAGTAAGAAATATATTGATATAATTTTCATATTCTAAATAATTTCGCATTAAAAGGGGATGACAAAAAGGGTTATCGAGTTTGGTGCTCTTGCAGTTGTTCAGGGCATTCAGAAGGAAGGAGGTTTATCTTATCTCGACATTTTACTTGAAAATATCAAAATTTTACTGATCTGCGAATCACGTTGCTCTAAATTTTATCTTATCTTGACTTTAAAGTCTCTTATTCTAGTGATCTGCGAATCACGTTGCTCATACTGTGGCTAGGGCATGCGTGACAAACTTAGATCTCACTTGTAGTTATGAGTTTATGCCTGATTGTATTGTAAGCCATATGACAAACGATATATTGAATTAATCAAAGAGTTCTTTATATTTTTTAAAAAAGGAATTCCGCATAAAAATATATTACTCCGTATTAGTCAAAGTTGATTATCATTGATCAAGAAACGTTAATTTGGCGATTTTTTTGGGACGAAGTGAGTTTGATATAAGTATATAATTTAATTGATTGGCTTCACTTTGTATTTGAGAAGGAACTGAAAGTAGACATTATCAATGTGTTAGAATCCTATAAGAGATCGGAGTAGGAACATTTATGCTATAAAAACTAACCGTGTGAGTCTCTTTTGTGTTTTTTCTAAGAAAATAACTTGGTCATTTCTGTCATCTCATAAAATTTTCCAACACTGAAAGATGAATGCTTCCTTAGGAGCATTTATAATTATAATTCTTTTCATTTGAAGATGATGCAACTTAATGTTGAAATAGTTGTGGTTGCCAGATCGACGGGCAAGCTAAACTCTTATTATATTGAGTTAATTATCAAAATAGGACCAAAAAGTAAACTATGTTTTGATAGGACTAATTATGTGTGTGTTGGAGAATTATACCCTTGTTGCTATTGAAATGTTTTAATTCATAGTAAAATAATAATAAAAAATAAAAATTCATAAAAATACTAAAAAAAACTAATAAAAATATTTAAATAATAATTTTAAAAAATTAAAAAAAAAGCCAAAAAAATCACCACCGCCTCTGCCGCCCTAGCACCACCACCTCCAGTCACTAGGGGGAAAATGTCAAATGCATTACGAATGTCATATTTATGGCAGAAAACAATGAAAATGTTGGCATTCTCAAAAAATAAAATGGCATTTTCAGGAAAAAAAATGACAGTTTTTAGAAAAAATGACATTTTTACACCGGTCGGAGGTGGTGTGAAGAGAGGCAGTACCACCACCTCCGGTCGCTGGGGGGGATGCCACTTGCATTAGGAATGCCATATTTTTGGCAAAAATAATGAAAATGTTGGTATTCTCAAAGAGGAATATGCCACTTTTTGGCATTTTTAGAAAAAGATGGCATTTTTTACACCAGTTGGAGATGGTTGTGCAGGGAGACGGTACAGGAGGCGGGAAAGACATCCTTTTTTTAATTTTTTTATGGAGTTTTACGATTTTTTTAAGTTTAAAAAAAAATTATTTATAAACAGTTTATTAAATTTTTAATTATTTCATTATTGGGTTTTTTACAAGAATATTACTAAAATAAAACTTATTTACATAAATATGACTATTCATTACTATAACGTAGTGTTATGGTAACTTAAGTTCAAAACTTAAACATGAATTAATATGATTTCATTACTACTCTAATAACTAGTCATATTTTTGTAAAATATCTTTTTTGGGTCATATTTATGTAATTATTTCATTATTTTTCTACGATTTTTGAATTTTTTTCGAATTTATTATGAATTAAACATTTAATTATGACTTTGACTATCTTTTACTCATATTTAAAGGGGGGTAAGAATTGAATGAAATAATAGGTATGTTTCCAATAGGACTAATATGATCTTATTTTGGAATTAAAACATAAAAAGTCCTATTTTGAATTTTTGCCATAATTTTAGTCCTATTTGAAGTAATTTTCATATTAATTATGTACACCATACTTTTTTGAAAATGTAGATAAGTTATAAATTGTAATTATATGGTAACACTACAGTTCTGCTGTCTTTCAAATGGAAACATCAAGATCATGGTTCTTTCAAATGGAAATCAACTCCAAACACCCGAGAATTTGGCCAACTGATTAATCACTTGAATGCACCTGATCTGCATTTCATTTGACTCTAAAAGGAATTGTGTATGGTCTGTACTTTGTCATTTATTCCATATACGGAATA